CATAGTTCTGGGTAGAAGTACTCTTCGCTCAGGCTGTTTTTCGTAGCTTAACCCAGGTAGAATATTTCGCCTAGGGAGATCTAGCTCATAGTCCCGGGTAGAAGTACTCTTCGCTCAGGTTGTTTTACGTAGCTTAACCCAGGTAGAACCTTTTCGCCTAGGGGGATCCAGCTCATAGTTCCGGATAGAAGTACTCTTCGCTCAGGTTGTTTTATGTAGCTTAACCTAGGTAGAAACTTTTCGCCTAGGGGGATCCAGCTCATATTTCGGGTAGAAGTACTCTTCGCTCAGGTTGTTTTACGTAGCTTAACCCGGGTAGAAACTTTTTGCCTAGGGGGATCCAGCTCATATTCTGGGTAGAAGTACTCTTCGCCCAAGCTCGCTTTTCGTAGTTTAACCTAGGTATAACCTTTTCGCCTAGGGGATTTATTTTTATTTCAGTAATATAGGGTACCAACCCCTGGTTACATTTCTTTTCTGTAATACAGGGTGACATCCCCTGGTTACATTTTCTTTCAGTAATATAGGACGCCATCCTATGACTATATTCTTTTCAGTAATATATGGTGCGAACCCCTGATTACATTCTTTTTCCGTAATACAGGGTACCAAACCCTAGTTATATTTCCTTATCAGTATCAGAGTACACCAATCCCTAGTCGATTTTCCAATATAGGGTCTCAACTCCCTAGTTTCTTTCATTTTAGACATAGGGTCTCCATTTCCTAGTCTCTGTGTTTTTTTCGGGGTACACCATTCCCGACCTTTTATTGCTTTCAATAAAGAAGTAGTTTAGAATTTTGTTACAATAACTCACGAAATTTTCCTAGTGCAAATTGGGGCAGAAAAATTTCGTTCATTTATTTGTTTTGGTGTCTGAGTGGGTTTTACCTCGAGGCACAAGATTCGAGATGACCAAAAGAAGAAGTCTCACTTCAGAATAAAAGGAAAAAAAAGGTGAATCCAAAATGCAAAAGCAGTTGAAAAGATGTGGAATGCTCAAGACATGACTGAAGCCACGAGCATTGGATTCTCGTTTTGATTAGAAGAAGCTATAGAACAATGAACTAGCACCTACAGCTAGCGAGCATCAAGGTTTAGATTAGAGTCTGCATGAAGAACTAGTCAAGACTCAAGATCAAGTTTCAGAAGACTTATATATAGGAATCTTGTAACTCATAGCTGATAGGTTTGTTTAGTTTCTTTTTTTTATAATAGCAGGATCGCGGACCGGAGCCTCGACGGAACCTCAATCGACTCCTCAACTCATCATTCCACCATTCTCCTTGAACTACATGTGACCTGATTCCCCTATAACCCGGGATATGTAGGCAGTCCAAAACCAGGACTCGGTTACACCCTATCTTTTATTTTTTTTTCCTTTTGAATAACGGTTTGATCAAATATTAGTCACATGGCTCACCTAGTCTTTGTCTGAAAACTCTTCATGTTTCCAAGCAAAGAGAAGCAGTTGTGAGCACCTAATTTTTGACTATATTTGAATTTTTACCACTTTCTACTATGTAAATATTTTTAAAAATTTAATATATATTCTTCTAGCTTTGTTATATTTTTTTAATATAGGGTAAGAATTAAAAATAATTTAAAAGGTCAAATTATTATTATTAGTATTATTTTTATTTTTTATCTTTATTGTAACATAAAATAAATTAAAGAAAATCGAAAAAAATAAATATTTTTTTTTATTTTCAGATGGGAATACAATAATAGGAAAATTAACAGTATGGAATAAAAAATTAAAAGTAAAAGTAGGTAGAAATTATTTTTTTTAAAAGTAAAAGAAAGTAAAAAATTAAAAAAATTAAAGTAAAAGAATGTGAAAATTTTAAAAAAATGAAAAGTAAAAGAAAGATGAAATTTAAAAAATAAAATTAAAGGTAGCTGAATTATTTTTAAAAAAAATAAAAGAAAGTGAAAAATTAAAAAAAAAAGAAAAGTAAAATAAGTGGAAATTAAAAATAGAAAAGTAAAATAAGTGAAAAATAAAAAAAGTAAAGTAAAAAAAGTGAGATGTTAAAAAATAAAAGTAAAGAAAAGTGCGGAATTATTTGTTTTTAAAAAGAAGAAAAATGGGAAGTGAAAATTCTTTTTAATAAAAAAATAATTAAAAAATAAATCTGAAAAAATTTCGAATTTTTTTCCTATAAATAGAAGAGAAATGTGAGGAGAAAAGAGGAGAAGGAAGGAAAACATAGAGGAGAGAATTGATATAAAATAAAAATTCTTCTTCTGCGCTAAGTGAATTTCTACTCGTTTCATTATTTCTTTCGAAAATTCAAGCAATTCATCACCCTGTTTAAGACTCAAAAATGCCTCAAATTCAAGCCTAAAAATACCTTGTGAAGCTTCATTGATAGTCACCTCTCTCACGCCAAAAATCAGCAGCCTCACGAGGTACAGTCGAGTTTCGGTCTGGGCTCGAATTTTAGAAGGTTCGTCGCTAGATTTTCTGCTCATCTGCACTTTGTTTGGTGTATTTGCTCGACTCAGAATTGTTTTTGCATTAATCAAGTTCTGAAGGAAATTTTTGCTTAAAAGTTCATTGTTTATCCTCCCTTTGTTAATTATTTCATTGTTTTGTGTGATGTTCTTATAGAGGTTCATGTGATAATTTTTTGTGTTGTTTTATTTATACACATTATCATGTTGTAGTTTCTTTTTACATGTTTCAAGTGATTTGTCAACAGATTATTTGAATAGGATTTCATCTTAATGAGATTTGCTATTTAAAATTAAGAATGAAGATCTTGTCATATTAATGGGCCATGCGTTGGAGTTCAAGTAAGTGAACCAGAAATGAGTTACCACATTTAATAGGAAAGAAAGAATTTGACATGGGTTGGACTGAGTATAAATCTGTTAGGCCCAATAATTTTGTCACTAGACTAATAATTAGCTTATTCTTCCATAATTGATAAATGTCTCCTAATTTTAAAGATAGAGTAATAAGTTATAAATATTTCTAAGTGTGGATGACTTTTCAATACTTTAAATAACTAATATATTTTCCGACTTCCAAATAATTTCCTATCCATAAACTCTTGGTCTTACAATAATTTCAAATTAGTTTAGGAAAATAATACAGTGCGCGTTCACATGACTTGACCAATCAACTTCGAATAATAATAAATGTGTTATTGATTGTATACACGTACGCGTGACATGATTCTTGACGCCAAACAAAAATGAGTACACGTACGCGTGACTTATTTGAAAATAATTTTCATAAATCTAATCAAGCAATAAAAGCGGACATAGGTAAAACATGAGAACCAATAAAACACATGTTATCCAAAAATAATATAAGCCAAATGTAGTCAATAAAGCGACCGTGCTAGAACCACGGGACTCGGGGAATGCCTTACACATTCTCCCTGGTCAACAGAATTCCTTACCCATACTTTGTTTTCGCAGATCAATAATAATAGAGTCAAACCTTCATTTGACTAGGGATTCAAATAAATGGTGACTTGAAACATCCAAAAAATCAATTCCAAGTGGCGACTCTGTAAATAAAATAATCCCTACTCAAATTTGTCACTTTAATTGGAAAAACTCTTTAACCCACAACAATCCATAACACATATATCTTTTGTGGGGGGAAAATGAGGTGTGACATTTATAATTTTGTATAATCTACTAGATGATCATGCACTTGTAACACCGGATCTTGGCACACACAATGGTAGAATTGGGGTTTGGATTATTTTTCTTGGTTTTAAATTAATGAGGATCTTTATCTATTTTCTTCTATATTGCTAGTAAAAAGAGTAAAATTACTTGAAAAAATATTAAAATGATTCATGTATGTTTAATTTACTAGTTGGCTGGCCTAGCTGTGACATTGGGCGTCATCACGACCTTTTAGGTGAAATTGGATCGTGACACTCATGATATGCTAACATGTGGTTTTTGAATTTTTTGTTGTTGTTGTAGCCATTGCTTGGGCTATATCTCCCCTGCAATATGATCTGTGGATGTTAATGGTACGTGTACTTGACTAATGTAATGAATCTGTTGCTTCTGTTTTACCAAATGCAAGAGGGCGGGTTTCTCATATGCAAAAGGATAAATATTTAACTGGGAGATAACCTAGTCCTCGTGCAGTCTAGCAATTTCCTATGACAATTTTGTTCTTGTTTGTGTCCATGCAACAAATCTTCAATTTCGTCACACATTTCCAATTACTAAGTTGTCTTTCCTGAACCTCTAATATAAACGATGCGCTTTTGTCCAAGACACCTGAATTAGAAACTGGTTCTCTCGTGGTAGAATGTTCAGTGCTAAAAAAGAATGAGATTCATACCTCTGTCATTCAATTTTTTGTGTGAGAATAGTTGAGTTTGAGTAAAATTAGACCAAAAATTACCTTGAAACACCATATTGAGCTACCACTACTATATTTCATATTAGCCTTTAATTTCCTTGAAGCTTTGTTTCTCCTGAAATACGTGAACTTATTTTACTGGAGAAAGTTGTCAGTGTGGACTCATGAACTTCTTTATTGCTTAGAACTCCTACCCTAATGGAGTCAAATGGAAGTTCAATTTTTATTCAGTCTAGCTCCTTAGTTCTTTCTTGTGGTAAACTAGGATTTGTTACCAACAGTAAAAACTCAAAACTTTGACGTGTCAATTTACTGAACCAGAGGAATCTGTCAGTGTGAACTCATGAACCTTTTTTAATGTTTAGAATTCTCAGCTAATTGGATTATAAAATAGAAATTCACTTTCTATAAAGTCAAACTAAAGTTTCTTATATGTAGGGCACGGGTTTCTTACAATGTCCACACCTACTGTCTATCACGGATATATTTACTTTTACTATTATTTAGAAATGAGAGTTGGGTGTACAAACAGGGTACGAACATGGTAAATTTGATATTTCAAAAATAAATTCTGTTTTTGTTTTCTCAATTTTGCCCCTACCTTTTATGACAAAAGCTTTACCAATTGGGGGTTTAAAGGTACTTACATTCGCTCCTTGGTTAATATCGAATCACTGCTCATATTCTAACAGTGTTCCTCATTTAGCTCTTTCATAAACGAGCCTAGTTCTCAATCCTCCGTCTCTACTGATTTTGCCTGCAATTGCTCTTTCACTATTTTCATCGGAAACTGCTGAATCCGAGAGGAGACTTTTTTGTTACTTCGCTCAGCTCTCCGGTATTCTTCTTCTTCCTCTTTCATTTTTCCTTTTTTTGGGTGGATTTCATAGGGGAAATTTCCATTTCCTCTGTTTATTAGCCATGTCTATATTTCAATTTTCAATGTGAAATTTAGGGGTTTTATGTTCTGGTTTGATTTAATCTATGCATGTTTGGAAATTGATGCCTAGATGCATGATTTTGAACATATGATAAATACAAATCTGACATTTTAAATAAAACTTAACCTCAAAAGTTATTATTCCTAGGAGAACTCGACAAGATTATTCTCTTTTTCCACTTTTTGTCTCCTTTGGTTGCTTCAAAGTTCTAGCAACTAGTGGAGTTTTCCCTTCTTTTTTTTTTTGGGTTTCACCATATTCTGTGATTTGTTAGTTTTGGTCTTTCAATGATCTGTTTGAACAGTCTTCAAGACTTTTCTGGATGTTCTGCAATTTTTTTCTATTTTTTTATTATTCTTTTCTGGTGTGTGCATAGCCAAACATTTATACAAAGCCTTCACAACATTTTAAACAAGTATTTCAGTAATGAATATGGCTGAAAGTTCTTGATTGTTCTGCCCTAATCGACCCCTTCATTTAACGAGTATTTTCCGATTCATCAAGAAGTTGATAGAACCATAGTGAAAGCACCATTGGATAGAAATTGATGCATAGCAGCCGTTCTGATGGGTTCATTGTCTTTGCTGCTATTTTCTTTTTGATTCTTTTAGCGTTTGTACTATGGGCTTCCCTTTGCATTAGATTATTTGTTCTGTATCTTCAATAGCATTTTCTAATCTTGAATACGACCATTTTTTTTAAAGAATTCTCACGGGTTTAATGGTCATCATCTTCTTCTCTTTTTCCTTCTTTTTTTTTCTAATTTATGCACTAAAACGACAGGGAGGTGCTGCTTTATATGTACTTGGCCGTGTGAATGTAGTTTAGTGTATGAAGAATATCCTATAATTCTTGCTAGGAGAATAGGAATATCTCCTTATTAGGGTATTAGTGTACTCAAATTTGTCCCCTCCTGTATATCTTTTCAAAGTACAATATTACACCAAGATCGTGGTATATACTGGTTTATCGCTGCAAACTAGATTCAACTCAACAACAAAATAGATCTCGCTTATCCACTAGCGTTGGAGCTGATCAATTGGTATAGGTTCTTTAGTATTATTCTTTAAAGTTAATCTGCACATCATATTGATATTGAAATACCCTATATGTTGTGACGACAGGGCAAAAACAAAGATATACATGTTTGCAAGTTATGCATCACGCAGCTTCTTACGGTCTTCCGCTTCTCTCACAGTGTTTCCCGTTCAACAGCAAATTATACCCATTGCAAAAATTCTGTCAAAAACTTCTGTAAGTTTAGTAGATATCCAAATCTGTGTAAGTTTATTTATATAACATAGATAACCAACATGTGATTTTTTTTCGTTGAGAGTGGGATTTTTCATGTTGAGGCAGAAATATAAATATCCAATGACATGCAGAAGTTTTATGTAAGGAAAGAAGGGAATTTGACTGGACCCATTTTAAACAATGGACAAATAAGTTCCCCGATATTATGGTTTTGCCATACTTATAAGTTTCATTTTAAGAAAATAGATCACATATGTACAGATATTAAACTATCTTTTTGCAGGTGCACATTCCAAATTGATTTACTGATGGTAGTGGCTCGACAACTGCAATTATTTCTGGTAATCTAGCTGAAAAAATGCTCTACATTGGTTATTTATTTGTATTATTGTACTTTATAAATGTTCTCAGTTTGTTGTTTCTATTGAAGCTATGTGGGCCATGATTGAATCATTTTTAGAATGTAAAATATGATATATTATATTTTCATTTTAGCTTCATTTTACCGGGTAATTTAGATCTAAAATTTGGCTTCTTGCATTTTCAGAATTCATTTAGGAAAAATCATCCTGGAGAAGTTCTAACAATATGCGTGCAAGTCAATCGATTTTGGCCTACGTAGAAAAGGAACACATCTTTCCACCGGGTATTGGCGAGAGGAAACAAAAAAGAAACTCAAGCCTCTAAGTACCAGGAGGTCACGGGTTTGAGCCGTGGAAACAGCCTCTTGCAGAAATGCATGGTAAGGCTGCGTAGATAGACCCTTGTAGTCCGGCCCTTCACTGAACCCCGCGCATTGCGCGAGCTTAGTGCACCGTCTGCCCTTTTTAAGCCTCTAAGTACTAATGAGGTAGAAATGGAAGCAGCGGTTGTGATATCTGAATCTTCTAAGCACAAGGCTGAAGCTAGAAGATTGAGTCCCCCAAAGTATCTATAGTTGAGGATTGAGATTACTTCTATTCTCTGACTTCTAAATTGGTGTGATTATAATATTATGCAGCATAGATTATGCTTCCTTCCTTACAATTCTGATTGTCTTCCTTTTGCACTAATTTATGTTTTCCAAAGTCAAGAAGTATCAACCTTTTTTTGGGGATCTTTTGCTACTGAAAAAGAAAACCTTTTTGGGTTCTCAATTGAATGCTAAAGTCTCATTCCCCCTACCCTTCACAATATTATTTCTAATGTAAGTTAATCGAGTGAACTTGTGAATGAAAAGGGAATGTATCACTGCCAACATGCGCTATTTTTAAGAATGAGTTGATGCAGGCTACAAAAGCATTATGTGGTGGTGGTGATCAATCATTAAAAACTAGGGAGGATGATTATGCTGGTTATGAAAATTTTTGGTTGCCTAAGTGTTCTACATTTACAGGTAAAGCAATGTGCCACTTTCTTTTACGTTAGTTCAAACAAGTGTTGCCTCTAATTACATGAGATTAGTTGATCTTAGTAGATATTTACATCTATTTTATCTTGGTTTAGTTGTCGAGAGACTTTGCAATAAACAATATGACATTACATATGCTAACTTTTCAAATTTCTTCTAGCTTAACCTTAAGCACTTTGAGGTAGAATTTTCCTGCAGCGATTTTTCAGGTCAAAGTTTCTTTTAATGTGTTCCAGCTACATTTATTTGGAACATTTAGGGAATTCATATTATATTTTAGTATATGCAAGGGTAGAGTAACTCACTAATGTTCAAAATACAATATGAGGCTTATGGGTTGTGTTCCATAAAAATTGGCTACTAAGGTTAGTACTACAGCTCCAGCTCAGAGGCAAAGCCAAGATTGAGGCTTATGGGTTGTGTTCCATAAAAATTGGCTACTAAGGTTAGTACTACAGCTCCAGCTCAGAGGCAAAGCCAAGATTGAGGCTTATGGGTTATGTTGTACTGAAGATACAAACAGTTTATGTATTTTTTCCGATATTATGTATGTAATATTTATATGTTAATGGTTTCACTAGACACTGCACTTATGCCTTCTTCACATATGGTATATATAAAAGTACGCAATAGCAAATATTGCTGTGCTCTTGTGCAAAATTACCTTAGATGCTTAATTATTGGAAGTAAGATGACTCTGATAAGTACTGAATCATCACCAGTGCATCTTTGAAGCCTACCACTCAAATTTTATAAATAACTTCATATATTATGTGAACAAAATTCCATATTCAAGGATGCTACTTCACGAGTATAAAATAGCGAAGGTAAGAAGCATTGCCTTTTACTCCGTTGTTTTCACTCTCTTTTTTGTCTACTTTGTCGTGGAAATATGATCTGATGCTAATATTGATGTTATTGAAGTTGAAATCAATACATCACGTGTTTCATCCAAATAGATATTCAGATTTCTTTTGAAAGTATACAGTTCTTTTTTTTTTGTAGGCCAGAAAGGCAAAACCATTAGATCCCTCATGACAACAACGCACCACGGCACTAGTAGTAGTTTAGCAGTTACCCAACTTGGTTTCTACCCAAAAATCAGAATGTAAATAAAACAAATAGACCTCTTACGTGTTTAGTTTGCTTCTGTCAGCTCCCATTGTTAGACGTTAGTGCATGCTTGCTTCTTTCCTCTTAATTCTATCTATAATTCATCCATAAATTGCAGCAGTTACGTCCATTTAATGAAGGATATAGGCAGTATAGACTTCAAGGATTAAAAAAACAAATGTGGACTCCTGATTTACTGCAACACTTCCTTTTCCTTGTAGAAGCTTATTGTTGGGTTTGGGCACCGGCATTCCCTGCTTATATATATATATATATATAGAGGTCTTGCTAATATAAAGTTAGTATGTTAGCAAAATACCCATTTTCTCTTTGCCTAAAATATCCCTAGTAGCCTATTGGAACACATTAATATAGGAGGCTTTTTGTTTTTTCATGAATAACACTAAACCCAACACATCTCATACCCATTTTCCCGTCCCTCTCATTCAGATTTGTCCTCTCTTCTCCTTCTCTTTTCCCCATTTTCTCTATTCCCATATTCATCTTCAATATCAAGTAAAGGATACCATTGCCATAATCTCTAATATATAACAAAAAATGTCTTTCAATTTTGATACCCCGATCTATTAGATTAAACTTAATTATTTCTTGTCTTGCATTTTGTTTTAGATATTCCAAGGCAGTCTTGGGAAGAAGAGATCATTAATGGAGTTACACATATAATCAACTCTTTTGCTTTGAGGAGTTTATCATGTGTGTGTTTTGGAACTTGTCCACTGGCGAGATTATCAAGCTCCTTTTTCTTATTGAAAAAATTATGTTTTTTTTCTTACTGAAAGTGGGTTTAGTTTTTATTTTTAGTTTCAGCAGAGCTTCTTGTGGAGGAGTTAAAAGATTATATATTGCGTGCATAGTTATTTACCAAGATATTTATGCTCTTGAGTTGAAATAATACTATTGGTTTAATGGTTGGAAGAATTTCAGTTTAAAGACACAATTTACAATCCATCAAGAAGGAATTGAAGCTAAGAAAATGGGTTGAAATCTGCAAAGGGAGAGCTTGCAGACAAAGGAAATTAAAGTTGGATCCTTTTACTCGGAGAAACACCGAGTGTAAAAGGCAAAAAACAAAATTGGATGACCGAAAAGACAAAAGAACTCTTTTAACTCAGTTGTTGTTAGTATGTTATTAAGGATATTTTAGGTATAGAGGAAATGGGTATCTTGCTAACATACTACCATATTATATATATATGAGAAATTGTACTACCAAATTATTGTGCAAAACTCAATTCAGGTGTCTCGATAAGGCTGCAATTACTTTGCCTGATCAGACTCTAGAGTAGCAACTGTGGAATATATAGATGGAAGCCGAGATTTGCAAAGTTGTTATATTTATTACTATTCAATTTGAAGTACCATTTCTTAATGAATTTGAGCATCATCTGTTTGTATTGCAGATTGGAATTGATTCACATATGGGTGCTGACTGGCCTGGGACATAAAAAATTTAGTATATGTAATTTATAATTACAATTTTTTGTTCTCCGGGGATGCCGTGTTTAACAACTAGAAAAACTCTCATCATCTATACCAAAGTTACAAACAATATTTAAAAACTCATTATTTCCGTTTTATTCATTATCTAACCTTTTCAATTAATAAAAGAAAATCTTCATTAATTATTCGATGGTGACATTAAGAATGTAGTATATCTCCTATCCAAGTTTTCACTTCTTTTTTAAAATAAAAAGAAATTCTAAGTTTTTAATGGTAGAAATACTCTAGAATTATGAATTAAACTATTCAAGTCTTCATATTGCTAAATAATATTTATACATAAGATCTAATGTAATGTATTGTAAACACTATGGCTAACACTTTATTAACTTATCAAAATCTGATACGTCCAAATTACACCTTTTTGGATTGATTTAAACTAGAAAGTACCGTATAAATGTGAAAACAATATAATTTAATTTTTTGAAGACCAAAAAAATTCTTAGCTTAATTTTGAGTTCATATGTCAATTTAATTTAGTGAGTCCAGAATGAGCAGGGAACACATGCAAAACATAGGCTTGTCTTATATAACACTTTTCCAGGATGGCCAATCATACGGAAGGATGAACTGCCGAAGTAGAATATCCATGTTAGGGTTGAATTGATGCGTTGGGCTTGACGAGCTCAAGGCATGTATCGCGTAATGTGATAGAATAAGAACTCGTCTTGTAACTTCCAAAACATTGTCATCGCAACTCAAAAAGAATTGATCAACACGCCAAGATGGTACCAATATTGGTGTTTATTGATCAAATTTGTCTGCCATAAATTAAATTTTACATTCAAACACCATTAAGAAAAATGAAAAATAGAAAAGTAAAGACCTTAACACCCTTGATAGAGGCATGAAGAGCAAATCAACAATGTTCGAGTCAAGTATTCTAAAGGAGTTGTTTCTCATATTAGGAAAAAAGTGCTATTGCATAGTATGCATACTATCGGGAGGGAGGAGTGTCACTCTCTTGGAGTTACATAAAAATCTTGAAATTATCTTTCAAGTTCTTGTAACTTCCTTGGTATTCCTCATTATACAGGGAACTAGTAATTACTTTCTCCTATTTTAAAACATATAAAAATGAAGAAATTATTTACCACTAAGAGAAACAAAAAATCAAGAAGAAAGAAAAAAGGGTTAATAGGAATGAGAGACTATTATCTTTGCGAAGACCAAATAAAGTGGATCAAAAATTCGATGAAGAGGTAAAGGATAACATGTTTGCAAAGCTACTAGGATTAAGAATATACTCGAAGAGTACATCTCTGGACTCTGAGCACCTCAAATGTAAAGAAATAACAGTAATGTTGTTCTCCTACCAAGATGCAAGCAATTTCTCCCCATCATGGGATTGCGAACATGGTTAATATTGGAAAAATCAATTCTTTCGTTTGAGAGGAAGATGGAAGAATGAAATTCTAAAATGAACCCGTTTTATTTTAAACAACAGTGGGTGTAACGGTTGGTGGGTGTGACGGTTAAGGGCATTCAGGTTTGTTATGCATCTTCGAAATACCCATATTCAATTTAACAAGTAGGCTTTTTTTTTTATAGGTTTCATTGCTACGCGGCGTCTTCTCCTTTCATTCAAAAATAAGTTTTTTTGTGTGTAGTCATTTTTATTTCTTTATTTATTTATCTTCCTTTTATAATAGTTATCAATATGCACGTGTTTTTATGCACTACAGAAGTTAGTAATATGTGAATATGCTTGGTGCTTTGAAATGATTTAGTGTGTTTTTGTACATGTGAAATGGTAAGTTTGCTATATTATACTTTTTATATTTTTATTTGTAATACACATTTTCTTGATTATTGTTTTTGCTATATGATGATTTGTTCTCTCAATTATTTTTTTTTTGTTCTTGCATTTTTAATTAAAAGAATTACATCAAAATTATGACTTAAGGTCATGTTATGATTAGGCCTCATTTGTTTTTATTAAGATTAAAACGACATCTAAAGATTAAGATGTTAATTAAGATTAAGACCTATGAAGCTAAATAGTAAGATGCGTATTAGAATACTAAATATTAAGACCATTTGGTTTTTAGCCTTTAAATGCGTTAATTTTTTATTTAAAATGAATAAATATAAAATCCAAATAAAATTATAATTAAAATATTTTAAACGATAATTATTGTAGTTGGTGATGATAATGGCTATCGGTGGTGGTTGTGTGTGATGGTGGTTACTGGTGACTTCGGTTGCTGATGATGACTGTGGGTAGTGACGGTAGTTAGCAATAGTGATTAACGATTATGGTTAATGGTGATATTTCACAATGGCGGAGTCACTTTTTCAGGTACCGGAGGTATAACATTCACATTACCACTCTACACTGAAGAGGAATATCATTGTGCAGAAAGTTACAAAACATTTCCCAAAATAAAGGCATACTATACACAAGTGATGATACTTCCTATAATCGCGTTGATAAAAGTGAAAGCAAATGAAGGATTGAACACAAAAATTGATGGCTAAATACACTTGCCAATTATCATACCAAAAGGTAACAAAACTAGCCTCATCCTATGAACAAGAAAACTCCCTATCTATTTTTTTGTATAGCTTTCTCAAACAATTGTTTATAGTTAACTAAGGAAATAGAAAATGTGTCGGTGAGCTAATAGTGGTCAGCTTAGCAAACATCACAAAGAATAGTAGCTCTCCACTGCACCAGAAGCAAAGAGGCTTGCGATGATGGCGGAGAGATCAAATGAGTACTCTCACGAATGGTCACCCCCTGCATTTCTCGAATCTTCTATACACCTACTGACGATAAAGGCCAAAATTATGCCCACCGCCGTTAGAATCTGCACCACCATACATTGGTAACCGTAGCTCACCTGAATGGGATGCATAGCGCGATCTAGAGTTGGGAGAAGTGGTGTATGAATCAGTTGAGCCACTGCTTGTATTGTACATTGATGATGTTGGAAGCCCGTGAATCCTTGGAAGGCCCGTTTGATCAGTACCCAAGCTGTAGCCCCTTTCAACTGTCTCAGTATCAAGTGGTAACTCCTCCAATGTCTGAAAACCAGAAGTAAAGTCATAAGTAAAATCATAATAACCCAAGCAAACCTAGAGAATGATGACAAACTGAACATCTTAAAGAATCTACACCGCTAGGATCCACTTACAGATGGTTTCACAAGGAGTAGTACAGTGACAAATAGAATACCCGATAGAGCTGATTTCATAAGGAGTATAATGACAATGAGAAAAAGGCAAAATGCAGTTACGACTTAATGTTGTCATACATCTTCCCAACTTAAACAAGCTTTTCTGCGGTAGTTCCTAAGTAAAGCCTAAAATGAGATGCAACTTATCAAAACCATAAACAATCTATCAAAAAGCTTAGTGAGCCTTGAAATGTAACATATGCAAAAATATACTTCAAGTGAAGATGGTGAAGATTTGACCTTGGAAGCTTGCTGAAGAACACGAAGTGTCTCTCGTGTACGCTTTCTCTTTGTGGCTATCTCATCAGGTTCTTGCAACATTTCTTCGAGGAGGTTGTCTCTGCAACACATAGTAAGCACCATCGATAAGAACCACGAGTACATTCAAAATATGTAGCATTGACTTGGCTAAACTGCCAGGTGCTAGAAACAACATACAAGTAGAACATAAGCACATATAATGTCATGCAGCTACGAAGCATAATGAAGGATCAATGAGCCACTATCCGGCAATTCCAGTTATATAAGTTTAGTCATCAAGAATGCAAAGAAGAAAAAAAGAAATTCCACTCCCAATACCTGTAAAGTTTCTCGATAAACACATTGTGGAGATCTCTTTTGGTCTGATTTACCTGGAGCATGGATGAACACCATTTTTGTCAACAAAAGAGAAATGTGAATCAAACTTGAAAATCGTATAAGCCTTCTTACTAGAAATTGAAAAAACACCTTGAGTCTAATAATGCTACATCAAGAAGAGACACCAGACACTTTTTCCCTCCAATTGGATATTTAGAAAAATTGTACCAACAAAAGGTAGTCAACAATTCCAGCTATACAGAAATTTCCACCACAGAGAATAAAGAAGTTTACATTTTTCACAGAATAGGAACTTGACCGATCAGTACTATGAGAAAATAAGAAGTCGGTTGCAAGTTAAAAAAAAAATTACTTTTCCCAGGAAAAAATAAGCCTCTTAACTGTTGGCAGAAAACCAAACAATAACACCAGTTCCCTGCGCCTTTAGAATATGACAAAAGCAGATTAGCATGTTTATTTCTCCATTTTGTCCCCAGGTTGACTAAAATCCCTTGTTTGCATATCACTACTTATTCTATGTCAGTGGCTTGTAGTGCTGAAAAATTCTGCCCGAAAGAGTACATCCTTTAGTAGGAGATAAGAGAATGAGACGAGATGGAAGAACTTATATTATGGTTTAATCAGAACAAAGAAACTGCGAGAATAGCATATTTAGGAATCCTCAAGACTACCAGTAGATAGAACTCTACTCACATAGATGTCAAAAATATTTCAGTAAAGGACCAAGTAATTGCTATTCATAATTACCAGAAAATGCATGATTGCTTTAGGTATTGAGTCTTCAATATTCTTCCGGACAATGTCATAGTATGACCTCAATAACAGTTTTGTGACGGCAATTTCAATAGTCTCCTGGTCTGAATGAGTTTCCAAAGGCCTCAAGACACTTGGGGGCTTCAAACAAAACATATAGAGATGTCATGTTTGATTTTATCACCAACTTAATCCATAAAGTAATTATACAGCAGAGAGGGCCTTCAAAACACATACCTCTCTCAAGTAGATCATTGAGAAATCATGATCCATGCTCTGTACAGGATCACCGAATGGCTTGCTAATGAAATTGTCTTTCACAGATGGACGATTGTCCGAGCCACCAAATATTGATGATATCCCCCAACTTGAACCAACATTTGATCCTAATAAAAAAATGTCAGCAATGGCTTTGAAAATAAGAACCACCAAAATATTACTTTCTAGATAATAAGGAGTCCAGAAAAAGGAAATGAATTCATAATAAGCAGCAACAGAAAAGTTCATGTTGCTTTTCGAACTAAAGAGTACCAAAAGATACAAAGGGGAGGATTTTTTCATAAAGTCACATTAGCAAACGGCTAGAATCCTTGTATAAAATATTCATTCCCTTCTTGTCAATCAAAATAGCTATAACTAATAACTCATGTAGCGAACACGTATCAATGAATGCGTCATGTATTACTAGATGGAAACACACCTGATGTTGTGGTTTTCTCGACTTCTTGAGCAGGCCGAACAACCTGTTTCCAGTCCAGAAGGAACACTAATCAATGCAAATAACTTAAGTTTCTTACTACTTGAAATTTGAAAGCTATGTGCGATGTCCATCAGGGAGACAATGAAGAACGCAAGCTTGGAGATGATGAAGCAGAAAAGGCCAACCTGATCAGGGACAAAACCACCAACTGATCTGGCTAGGATAGCACGTGATTTTAGACTTCTTTCAGAGTTTGGAGCTTTTTCTAAATCTACTCCTTCCTGAGTATCAATAAGCAAACAAAAAATGATCATCAGTATGATATAATATGCAAGACCAATTGCTAAAGTCTACGAAACAGCAAATGAAGCATTTACTTTCAGCCTGGGGACAGGTGCCGCAATCCTAGATGACTTGACCTGCTGTAATGCAATCTCCACAGCTTTACTCCCACCAATAAAATTTGGATGTGAAGTATTTATGTAATCCATCTGCAACAGAAAATATATTTAAGCTGAAGCAATATACAAATTTTAACAGCAACAGATTCATCAAAAATTTGATGATTTGCTAAAGCCATTCACAAACTTTAAGATGCTTTGGCAACTTTGAAATGAGTTGGTTCTTTATCTGAGATATCAGATGAGCATAGAACTAGACTCTTAAACCATTAGTTCACTAGAACTGCAGAGCAATCAATCGCAAAATTCGATTATGATCTGTAAGAACAGAACGGCTTCAAATTGATGCTAAATATTTCAAAATAGTTGACACTCATCAATCAAGTCAATGAACTTGATCACAGATGTGAATGTCGACGTGTGTCTCTGTGTGTGTTGTATTAGGTATAAGCAAAACCAAATAAAACACCCAACTTCTTTTGACATACCTCCATGTCAATAATGTGTCCAATCATTATTTCTGAAGGTTCCAGTCCTTGACGCAAAAAATGTCCTATAACCTCATCCATGCGCTTTCTCAAAATTGGAAACCGCTGCAACTCATTGACCATACAACGATGGCTCATCTACGAAGGAATCATTCGGGTTAAAACAGTGATTACAAGAATGCATTACCCAAAAAAAAAGGTACTCAACATCGGCCTACTTTTATCAGCTCATCATATATAAATCTTGCACACTGAAAACTCGGTTCCATTAGACGTGCTATTTGCCTTCGGATAAGAACTTCAAATGGGACCTACATATTTACAAAATAATTAAAATGCAACCAACCAAATGACATAAATACTAGAGAAAATATTCGATAAAGTGTTGAACTATTGGCTCAAAAGCAAAAGCAATTTGCAAAGAACAGGTTAATCCTTTGGACTTACTTCTGGCACAAATAAAGCAGATTTGGGACCTGTAGCATTTTGAATGGCAGTTCGGATGTCATCATCGGTTAAATCTTCACAAGGATCAACTTCCTGCAGAAGATAAAGAAATCTGATGAAATTTGATAAGCAACTGAACCTAGGGCAAAAACTCCAATTATGCGCATCAACACACCAATTTTGCAAAGTTACTGAAACGTTCTTGCGTCTATCATTCACCTTTTTTACCACCTTGAAGATTTAGAATTCTTGTATAGCAGATGAGGAAACAATTTTTGACATAAGGAGTTGTCAATAAAAGAGTATTCAAAATGGAACACAGGTTTTGGTAATGCGACTATGTTCGTGGACAAAAACCAACTTATGTGGACATATGATGAATATTATTTACGGATGGTATATGTGCCCACACCCTTGGCAACAATTTATGACCATCCTGAGAAAAAATTTAATGCCCAAGAAAAGCATTATAAGCCCATACCGAGTTGGCTATACCAACAAAAGCATACATATTAAGCTATCTATTTGACAAAAATGACATCAATGTCATTTATGTGCAAACATTAGCAAGTCTTTAGATGAATTTCAATTCTCTGAGCAAGAAAGGAATGAAATAGGCATTTCAAAAGTTAATATGAAAGATGTGGACCTCCAAACTCTTCACAAATATGTTCTGAAAAATGTAATGAATTCTTGCTCCACCAGAAAGCTCAGAAGTTGACATTTCTTCATTTTTTCCTTCTATCATGGAAGAGAATGCTGTTCTCGAACCAATGAAAAAAGCAAAAGAAAAAAGGCAGACACTGTTAATGAGGCTAGGAGGTGTAAATGGTCAATAAATAGGATATTTTATACTAGAAAGCAACATTAGAGATAGCAGATAGAATACAATACAGGACTATTATTGAATATTGCAAGGTTTAGGCCACATTACCTTCACTATACTTGGAAAGAATGTTCAGAAGGAGAGCACTCATACCAGCCTAGGTTCAGGGGATTAGCACAAAGATGTTAATAAATAGCTTGGAAATACTAGCTGAACAAACTACAGTAAACCTAGCAGATAGAAACCTTCCAGGACACAATAATTGGTAGTAATATGACAACAAACTCCCCAAAAATATAGGCCAGTGCATGGTAAAGCTTAGGGAAGACCAAAGCAGTTACCTGTGACTCCGTGATCTCCCCATAGCTAGCATGCTCCTTTGCGACAGACAAAAGTGCAGCACTAATGCGTGATTTCAATCCTGGAAGAAGTGTTTTGATGTGTTGCACCAAAATCTGCATTAAATAAGAGTGTTCAAGTTGCTTTGTGACATAATCCTGTTATCCACACAAAGCTAAACCTACCCAAGTTATATTTGATTTTAAAGCAATAAGATGTCCCATACCAGAACTGGAAAGCAAACAGCAGGCATGGGAAATTTACATTTCCTATGGGACAGGATGGCTGGGATTGTGGTGAATGTGGGTGGTAGCCAATCATCTAACTGATGTAGAAAACAATAAAAAGACAACAGGTATCTGTTGCACAAATGCAAGTAAAAAGGTGCAGCCATAAATAGGAAAGACAGCCTTAACATGTCTTTAGAGAAAATAACCCCAGAAAAAAAGTAAATATCACTAGGAAGACATGACTCCTATCCAATATACACAAAGGCAAGTATTAGGAGACCACATGACACATAAGCAACATGCAACTAGAATTGTTCATACAGAGAGTGCGTCCAGATTATGATGTTTGTTTTCAAGACGAAATAAGCTGCTTGGTAAAACCCCAATCACATATGCAGGGAACCCAAAAAGAAAGGTAACACAGACCACTACGCAGACACATGTATAGATGTGTATGCTGTGCTTCTCGTGTGCCAAAACAGACATGGTTACTGTGTAAAAAACTTATTTTTTACAACAGCTAGTGACAAGACAAGCATGTCTAAGTATTTCAAGGTGAAGGTATTTCTCAACACATGACTTTTTGCCTTCGTTTTTTTTTAATTCAACATGTTAATTACATTTTAAAACTCAAAAAAATTAGAGGATGAAACTTATAAGTTTTTAATTGATTTGGAGATATTTTGAAAATGTAACTGAAAAATATAATGTGTGACCTTACTGTGGTTTCATGTTTTTGATAAATACCGGTCCTACAAAGATGTAATGCATGCAATGTCACAATCCAATAAGAAGAAGGATCACTGTTACTTTTACCAGCAGAGATTACCTGGTTCAACTTTTTTGCCAATTGAGGTACACCACAGCGATCAGCAAGATCACTATATACCTTCAGGAAAGAATCAATAAAACAGGAGATTATTAATGGATATCGACATGAAATCAACTAATAAGAGATGGTAGAAAACATACAGGACGGCTGCGGAAGAACTTCTCCTCAGCTACAAGAGCATCCTTAATACTCCGGTTCGTCATAATATCCTGTTTTAAATAATTCAGCTATAATATTATAATCTTATAAAGCAAGTATATACAAATATCTATGCACATATATGCACACAGACACACTTATAAACATAGACTGCTGTCGGCTAAAGCTACTAAAAAGTGTATAAGGTACTGTCATATGTAGCAAACTGTTACCTTGTTACCATTTACTTTTTTCTCTGATAAACAATATCTTTACCTTGTACTTATAAATAGACTAGTACAGGCAGTACGCAAAGTAGATTTGTTGTATATTATGCACTGGCTGCTAAGCTCTTCCGTATTTGAACACAACTTTTAAGATTTTCAAGTTTTTTCACTACTGCAAAGGTGCTCTGGATCTTAAACTCATTCTGGTCCCTTTTGGTGCTCAATGGCTATAAGTTTCTCTACTTATTTATCTGTCCTTTAGGCCTATTATAGGGTGGTATAATGTGTCATACTTCTTCTCTTTTGGCACAAAAGGAAAGAGTGAAGAGAGGAATCATGGAGGTTGCGCAGTTTATTGCCTCTATCATGGGTTTAATTATATATGCTTCAAAAGTACTGTGTCTTTTTTCCTTGAATGGTTTGGTTGTGTCGCTTTAGAGTGCTTTTAATAATCCTTAAAATTAATTGTACTAATCCATGACTCAAAATAAAGCATTGGCTAGTGGTATTCAAAAAAGATTACTTTGCATTCAAAAAGAAAATCACACACAAACAAATGAAAAGCTAGTTGCCCAAAACCGATTTAGCAGCCAAGAGACTATAAAAGAAAAAAAGACCTGAATTGCACCCCATGCTTCAGACATGAAGATAAATATGCAATCTACCGCACAGTATTTGAAAAATAAGTATTGGCAGCATTACAGAATTTCCTATGAAGAATGATAGATTAATTGCAAAGAATAAAAAAACCCATTACTTTACTCATCTTCTTCATTTTGCACCTCTTTTGATTAGGCTAGAACATCAGGGTCAAATTAAAAAGGCTTAAGTGTGAAATTCTTGAATCACAGAAGAACTCCAAAACTGTACTTCTTGTCCTAAAGTTGAAGCATTTGTTGCGCAAAGATGACCACGAAATGATCAAAACAACATATCTCAAAAGGTGTCAGGTAAAATTTAGTAAGAACGTCGAACACATGCACTTAGATAACCACGCCCAGGAAAAGAAAAATTGCTAGAGGTGCCTCTCAGAGACTATAAAGACTCTACATATCCATGAAGAATGTGGACAATTTTTTCGTTTTTGGTTCTACGCCGATCACAACATGACTATAAGAATAAAAAGGTTTTAAAAGAAAAATGATAACCGCAGATGCAACTCCAAAACATAAATATGAAAGCTCAAAAGCGAAAAATCAAGAGAAAACAAAACTACATGAGATAAACTATGTTCTCCACCAAAAGTGTAACTGGATGTATTACCTCCTGACAACGATTCACTACACCAACATAACCAAGGCGAAGGGGAATCACTTTTCCAAGTAAAAAGTTACGAGCATCAGTACCCCTATCCATGATGTCCAACTGCAGAAACAGTGAAAATACAACCAAGTAAAAACAACTACCAATGAAGAGATATAATCAACACAAGGATGAAATTCATTTCCTTTCACTCTGACCTTTGTGATGACTCCAATGGTTCGATAACCTGCAAGAAGAAACTCTTCATATAAGAAAGCACCTGAACAACCAAACTCCCTAGCAGAGAATATATTGTTGCAACATACCATCAGGGTCAGCGTTCCCAGCAATCTGAAGCGCATCCGAGTTGGCTAAGTCAGAATTAGCCGGTGTTACAGCCAAAATTAAGCAGCTTGGGAGCTTAATATATGACATTATCATTGTTCTGATCCGAGCTTCAATATCAGAAGGCTGATCTCCAACAGGCACCTTTGTTATGCCAGGCAAATCCACTAGAGTAATATCAAGGACATTTGGTGAGAAAATTTTCAACCGTATCTGCTTGTCTGAGATACCTTTATTTGCTCCTACTTCGCGTTCTGTCTCCGCCTAAAGCCCATGATGAAGGATTGGCAGTTAGAAAAGAGAAAGAATTGCTGAAATATCAAGGAAAAGAAATCACACGAACAATATTATGTTGGGCGTCCTTCCCTCATGAAATCCTTGCTACTGGATGTTACCATGCATATATTTCTACACCACGATAGTCAGTCTATTAACAATCTTCTTTAACCATAACTAATGCACAGACAAGAAGATAATCTTAACAATCACAACTAAACTGTTTCTCCTTGCCCATGTTGGAGAGACACTATCTTTAGAATACGGCTTACCATATAGATCTGTTATATATTACGGGTAGAGTTGTCCTTTTGAAAGATAACTACATTAGCCTCAGTTCTTCAACTACATAATGTCATGACCAAAGTGAATTCTATGCAAGAAAAAGAGAGTCCACATTGTCTACAAATTAAGAGGAGCGGTTCTTGGGACGCGGACAATAACATCTACCCAGGAACATCACGCCCATAAGATAAAGGAGTGAACAGATCACCCAATTAATAAACTACGCTTTGGTCACATGCCCTCTATATCCTTTCCACTTTATTCACGCCCACTTCATTGCAATACTTAATATTTTACATCTTTCAAGATAAATCAGGTGCTTTCTACAATTGAATAGATAAATGAACTTGCATAAAAGAATTAAGAAGTGTGATAACTAAATCAATGCACATCATAACAGCAAAAGTATCTAAACCTATAATAGCACTCAAGAAGGTCAGGGGTCAATAAAAACTTGTGTCTTATGAATAAATCCCTCAGCTTCCAATGATCACTGTAATAAAAATCCCGCAAAACATAATAATTCATAAGAGCAAAGAAGATTCGGTAAACAAGTACGGGTAATGATAGGCAGGGATACGAACATCACTTTCATTAACATAGTTACTTTCTTGATAGTTATAACCTACTATATTGGTTGATTCGGAATATGAGGCCAGTTAGGATTTAGGACTTGCACTAGAATATTTGATATTCAATGGAACTAACTACTTTCCTCTTGGACCATATGCATACTAAGAAGATTAAAAATTTACATACATTCCACAGAGCACCCAATCTAATCAGTAAAGACTTATCCGCACCCTGTGTTTCACTTAATCAAAAATAAAAAAAATACTTTCCCAACCAGGTGTCCACTTCGGAGTTTGGGGCCCGACTAATCCGGAATCGACCCAAAGTCCCACTTTGGGGTAAACCGCTCCCGGGCACGAACCCGAGACCTTTAGTTTAAGGATGGAGAGGTACTTACCATCCTACCACAACCTTTGGTGGTATATCAAAGTTAACTTAGCAGAAGAATAACTACAATAACCTAAAGCTCCCACCTTTACTACAATACCACAACCGAATAAACTGAATAAAAAGTTCACATAATTTTAGACTTTAGAGTCATGATCAAAACTTTCAAATTTCAATCCAACAGAATGGAGTCAAGATTGTCATTGACTTTAAATTCTAAGTTTAACATACAAGTCTTGTATACCTGAATCTCCCTACGAATTTCATTGAAATCAAAGAAACGCTTGCCAGGATGGTGCAAGAACTCTCCCCATTCCTGATCACCAGCAGCATCATTAGGATTATTAGGCTTGGTTTGAAGGAGTTGTAGAACAAGAGGGCGCCTCGTACATATATCAGAACCTCTAGGCAAGAAATCGCGACCTACGAGCGCCTCAAGCACACTTGATTTCCCACTACTTTGACTCCCTACTACAGCAACCTGCGGCAGCTCAATTGTGGATTGACTTCCAAGCTGTGCGAATATGTCTTGGAGTTTGTTCACTATCGGTATCACTGAATGACCCAATGATGCCGCCGCCGCCGCCGCCGCATTGCTAGTGCTTGATTCTTCCGCCATGGCAAATTTTGATTTAGAGCTAAAACCCTACAAAGTTTGATGTTTGATGATTTAAAAGAAATTTTTCTTACTGGCCAAGAAACCGCACAAACCGAAAATTATTGTACAAGCAATTTTCCAACCCACATACAATACAAACTCCTCACTTAAATATGAGGAAACCTAGAATAATTCCTATTGGCAATAATAAAACTCCATGAAGATTGGGATATAATGGAACATTATTTTAGATGAAGATTGGCATACAAATTCCTATTTGCAAAGTAATTTCGACTTGTAACGAACATTACTTAATTAGTATGGTTTCATTTCATTTGATGTAATTTCGTAATCATTAATATACAATACTAGTACTTTTCCTTACACTATCTCCTTAATTAGAGTTGTAAAAGATCTATGAAATATGTATTTGATTTATACGATTTATACTTACTAGTCTAAGAACTCGCGCGATGCACGCATAATTTGACAGAATGTTAGATCTTATAAAATTATGATCTAATATATCATATTAACTTAATAAATATTACTAGTTGTATTTTATTATTTAATATAATGTGCAGAAATATAACACAATCTATACAAAATTAAAGGATACAATCATATAGCAATCAAATAAGTTGTTTGATCCTTTTTATTTTTACTATTGAATTAGCAAGTACTTAGTACTATTGATAATTTTCTTGAGTGTTATTTATTTATCTTTTANATTTTATTTTTTACTTTAAAATAATTTTAAAACTCCAACTTGAAACTACTCCCAAATTTGAATGGATAATTTTTATTATATATTTTCATTTTTCTATTATAGCTAATTTTATATTTTTTTTAAATATTTGTAAAACTCCAACTTGAAACTACTTCCTAATTTGAATGGGTAATTTTTTTCCCTTTTTATTATATATATTTTCACTTTTTTATTATAGCTAATTTTCTTTTTTCTTTTTTTTTTATATTTAAAACTCCAACTTAAAACTACTCCCCAGTTTGAATGAGTACTTTTTTTTTCCTTTTTTTATTATAGCTAATTAAGATATCTGTATTTATAATTTAAATAGAGTAACCAATTAATTAAAAATTTAAAATTCAAAGTTTTTTTAGTCAGGAAGGGAGTAACAAAAACTACTCCCCAACTTGAATAGGTTGTTTTTTTATTGTTTTTATTTTTTAATATTTTTGTTTTTTTACTATAGCTAATTTAAGTTTTTCTTATTTTTTGTTTTTTAATTTTAAAATAATTTTAAAACTCCAACTTGAAACTACACCCCAGTTTGATCTTAACAATGCCACTTGACTTCTTGTATTTTTTATTTGAATTGAAAGTTATTTTATTTCTTTATTTTCATTTTTTTATTTTAAAATAATTTTAAACTCCAACTTGAAACTACTCTTCAATTTGAATGGGTATTTTCTTTTATTTATATATTTCCGTTTTTTATTATGGCTAATTTTAGTTTTTCTTTTATTTTTTTATTTTAATATATTTTTAAAACTCTAACTTGAAACTACTCCCAATTTGAATGGGTAATTTCTTTTCGTTATTTTTATAGCTAATTATAAGATGTCTATATTTATTAATTCAAATAGAGTAACCAATTAATTAAAAATTTAAAATTCAAAAGATTGTATAGCTAGACAGGTAATTTATTTTGTCTTAAAACTCCAACTTAAAACTACTCCCAAATTTGATTTGGCAATTATTATTATTTTTAATTTCATTTTTTATTTGAAATAATTTTAAAACGCCAACTTTGTTGGAGCTTTGTCCTAAAAATCTATATTTGGTGTCTTATGGTTATATATATATATATATATATATATATATATATATATAAGAAAGAAACTACTCTCCAACTTAAATTGGTAATTTTTTATTTCTTTTATTTCCGTTTTTTTATTTTAAAATAATTTAAAAACTCCAAATTTAAACCACACCCCAATTTGAATTGGCAATTTTTTATTTCTTTATTTTTATTTTTTATTATAAAATAATTTTAAAATTCCAACTTGAAACTATTCCCCAACTTGAATAGGTAATTTTTTTTTATTATTAATATTTTCGTTTCTTATTGTAGCTAATTTAATTTTTTTCTTATTTTTAATTTTTTAATTTTGAAATAACTTTAAAACTCCAACTTGAAACTACTCCCCAATTTGAATGAGTAGTTATTTTTTTTATATTTTCGTTTTTTTAATATAGCTAATTATAAGACATCTATATTTATTAATTTAAATAGAGTAACCAATTAATTCAAATTTTAAGAAGGTTTTTTTTAGTTAAAAGGTAATTTATTTTGTCTTAATAATGCCACTTGACTTTTTGTAGTTATGCCACTTGTCTTAATAATATACTTTTACCTCTCCTTTTATTATATTTGTCGTCATGTAATTCTGTTGATATTTTATTTTACTTTATTTTATATTTTACTTAATACAGTCAGACCTCTCTATAACAGTATCTCTATATAACAACCATATTTTTCTTGGAGCTAATTTTTATATTATGTTATAATATATATCCTCTATAACAACACTTTATTATAGCAACCAAAAAATTTCGGAACAAACGAGACTGTTATAGAGAGGTTTGACTGTAATAAGTAGATGTGATGTATATGTAGTTTCGATAATTACTTATCTTAATAACTAACAATATCATAATTTTTTTAAATCAAGAGTTCATATAGCTAAGAAATTGCTATTGCAAACGTATTAGAGTCAGCTGCTATATTTTCATTAATTCATTCTTTCTTTATTTTACAGTGAACTATGCATCTGAATAGTTCTTTTTTATGAAAATATATTTAAAAAGGACTGTTAATCTATGAGCAAAAATATAGTGTTTATCTATACTATATTAAAAGTACGAAGTCTCTTAGTTAAATGTTGTTCGTCTTTTTAACCCTTTAAACATAGAGTTTACATCGGATAAAATAGTCATTTAATAATTTTTTCCTAATATTTAGGAATAGTCATTTAATTTTTTTCTTAATATTTAGAAATAATTATTTAATTATTGTCCTAATATTTAGGACTTTAATTTTCAATTCTAGAATTCATACACTTTCAACTCCATTTAAATTTAGGAATATTAGATAAGCACGTTCAATTACAAACTAGGATAGTTTCGACAACTTTCGATTTAAGAGTATTTTTTTCTTTCTTTTTCTTCTAACTTTTGTAGACCGCTTGCCTTTTATTTTATTAGAATATTTTTGAGGTTAGTTCACAATCTTTTCAAATATACAATTTTAAAAGTAAAAATCATCTCACTAAGTAATATTAAAGTTTTTACCATTCTATACGTGAAAACAAAATAGTAAAAAAAAAATTGAGGTTATAATTCGCCGAAAATCATTTATATTTGTTTATGAAAGTAAAAAATAAATACAACAAAATAAGAAATCATAACAAATTAAAAAATTTAAAAGCAAAAATGTTTTTGTAGATTTTATCATAAAAATATTTTTAGAAAATATAAACAATTAAAATATTTTTTTAATCAAATTGGATTTACTTTTAAAAAGTCTTTATTTAAATGAGAACTGATTATAAGTACACAAAGAAAAACAAAACGTTATATATGTGGGAATTGATGAAAAGAATAAATTCTAATTTTGATCTTAACATGAATTTCATATTCTAAGTCCTTCCACAATAGTATGAACATAGCCCTTTCATAATCAAATAATTGCAAGTAATACTACTACAATCATATACTCTTGCTTTCTATGGAAAACAACATCCGGATGCATCCGAATGAAGAATCTTAGATGTATGATTATGTGTTCTGACAAAAAATGAATTGTAGATTAATCATACTATAGCGGTTGAATTAATCCATTTTTTCCATAATAATTTACTTTTGCAATTATATTTTATTCTTTTCAAATATGTTGGAAACAATTCCTATATAGTATTTTTTTTTAAACAATCGAACAATCTACATTTTTATCATGAGAAAAAAAGATGTCTTTTGAAAGTTAGTCGACCATACTTTTGTATTTTTAGAATGAATTTCAAAACATGGGATACACGCACAATGCGCGTACTCTAATACTAGTATGTAATAAAATGCTAATCTTGACACGAATTATTAGTTACACCCTAACATATTCGTGGTCTTAGATACTCACTTGAACTTTGATATATGATAACTGATATCCCCTAGATGTTGACATGGCAAAGAGCATAGACACACTTTTCTTAAGGCAATTGAAAGTGAAAAAAATAAAAAATCTGCTTCCAAATAGGGTATTTCACGTCGCATGTTAAATAGTCATATACAATAGTTTATTTGTTAGAATTGTATATTTCTTCTTGCTTCATATTAATATATAATGCATATTTTACCTTGATTTTGTATTTTTTAATTTTTATTTAGATATAATGGCTAGTTGTTTTAATTGTGTATTTCTTCTTTTTTTAAGATTTCGCTGGAACTCCATCATTTTAGCTAAATAATTTTTTTAATCTAAATACTAGAGTACCAATGATATATTTCTTATTACTTTTCATTAGATGCAAATGGATATTTATTTCAGTTGTGTATTTTTATTTTTTAGTTAAATTAGTAAAAAGAAGTTGCTAGAGCTCTATTATTTTGCCTAATTAAAAAGGTATAGCCTAAATAATAGAGTTGCAATTATATACTGCTTTATTTATTTATTTAGATATTATAACTATTTACTTCAACTGTATATTTTTCTTTTTTGAGAAAATATGTAAATATACTTGCTTAAAGTTGTATGGGTCAAAATCTGCCTAAGGGCACTCGACGTGAAGTGGTGTTACCAAAAGTAATTTGACCGAAGTCGACTAGTAACTAATAGGACTCACCGCTGTGCAGCCAATCATGGCCGAGGTCAAGTATCAGAAGAGGCAGTAACGGCTAGTTTAGTAATAGGATCTTTAAGAGAATATTTCGTTGGATATTCTTTGTACTTGTACTTTTAGGATTAACAGGGGGCATGTACCTATAAATAGAAAGAGAGACAAGGTAAAAAGCATGTAATATTCTTGGATAAGAATATTCTTGATAAAGTAGACTCTCTCTCTAGATAAATACAAATACTACCTTTCTAAAGAGATTCGATTGTTGATTATTCTACACCTTTCCCATCAGATCCGAGAAAGGCCCCGATATTCTTATATTTGTCTGTCATTCACCATTGTGAGAAGGAGGAATCATCCACCTCATTCAATATTGGGTGAATAATTCTCCTTATTTACTTTAGTGCCATTTATTGTTATTTAATGCTTGATATTCC